ACGTAAGGAGAGTCCCTTAGTAGACCAGACCTCTGCCACTGGGGCTATTCCTACATATCAACCAGTGGTGCCAGTGAATGAGTGGTGGAAGCATACGGGACTAACAGCCAGCTCAGAACTACCTGTGCCTTCTCCCAAGGGGGGTCACCTCACTCAGTGGAGAGAAAGGAGGGTGACTGAAGATGAAGAGGGTGATTGGAGCTACTCCACTGCCTTGGGTAGCCAGACGATGGATTGTCTGAGGGAGTGGTTTGGGGAGGCTAGCTTCCATGATAGCAGTTCTGGTTATCGAGAACAGGGGACGGCTGGTCAGATAGCAGGAATACATCACAGTCCCCTTCCCAGCCTATCCCTCGCTTCCGTCTAGCCAGTCCAAAGTATAATCCCAGGAATATACCCAGGCCAGTGGCAGGGAGCTGGACCCACAGTTGCCTTTGAGGCTTCCACCCAAACAGCAAAGGGAACCGCTAAGTGATGACAGAAGTCAACGTTGGCTGCCACAGACAGTATCTAGTGGCCATCTAGTCTATACTTGGCTAGCTGGAAGTGGACAAGGCCAGGCTATAGCAGGGGTCTTGGGAACCTCCCTCCTTGAAGGTCTCTTTCAATGGTAATCCAGACAAAGTAGTCATTTTCCTGGGCCACGGGATAGAGCATATGGACCGAGTTGGCTATTTGTACACTTCACAATGGGACATAGTGATGGCCATTGCAGGGGTCTTGGAGGGAGAGGCTGCAGATTGGGCCGCGGGCCTCTACAGCGAACACAGTTCAGAGTTGCGGCATTGTGGTCTCTTTTTGGATACCCTCCAAGAACGGTTTGAGGATCCGACTCGGGTACAAAGGATTGAAGGGGAGTTGATGGCATTATGCCAGAAGGGCCAACCGGTTGCTGATTATATACGGGATTTCCAGCAGTTGTCGGGAAAATTAAGAGGTTGGCCAGAGAGACTGTTAGTATATCAGTTTAAGACCGGCTTAGATAGATCAATCCGGCAGGCATGTGTATATCAAGGCCTACAACCCCGCCTGTGGTCCTGGTATCAAGCTGCTACAGGACTAGAAACGGCGTGGTCTAGCATTTCCCTCGTCTCTGGGTCTAAGGTCCCTCAACTCTGCTTCTAGTTCTGTAGCGGCTTGATACCAGGACCACAGGGGGGGATGTAGGCCTTGATATACACATGCCTGCCGGATTGATCTATCTAAGCCGGTCTTAAACTGATATACTAACAGTCTCTCTGGCCAACCTCTTAATTTTCCCGACAACTGCTGGAAATCCCGTATATAATCAGCAACCGGTTGGCCCTTCTGGCATAATGCCATCAACTCCCCTTCAACCCTTTGTACCCGGGTCGGATCCTCAAACCATTCTCGGAGGGCATCCAAAAAGAGACCACAATGCCACAACTCTAGACTGTGTTCGC